TGTATGAAATAAATGTACTGTTTAAATGTCATACATACAGTTACTTTGATATTTACTGCAATTTCTGCAGGTTTGGTGGCTGACGGTGGTTTGAGAGAGTAAGTCTGCATTTCATTTCATTTCATGCATTAATGCGTTTGACTTGTTTCAGTGGTCATTCCAATTTCACTGTAACAGCTAATAAAATATGATGGTCAGCATGAACATGACCACACACATCCTCTCAGCACTATTTCTGAGTAACTACACAGTTTGACAGGATTGTGTTTGAGTGTGTGAGAGATCGACACGGCACCGTTTCAGATCCCCCAAAACAAACCAAGACTCTTTTTTAAAAAATCAAGTTATAATTGTGCAGCTTTAAAAACAACTAAGCTGAAGTTATAATGGCAACATAAGTGACACATCAAACTACAGTTTGTATTTACTTTTGTATTTTCTAATTATTATTTTATTTTTGAATTCATTTCGAACTTAGTGTCCAGGATGGATTTTCTTCTTTCAGATTAGTTTTTAAAGTTTTTGAAAATGTTTAATTTTAGTTTAGTTTTCATTCATTTCAGTGTTTATTATTCTAATGAGGAAATATGTCATCAGTGCAGGTATTACAATAAAAACTAAAGTAAAGGTTACTTTATTATTTTTAAATTATTATTATTTTATTCCATTTTCCAAGTTCCAAATGTAATTTTTAGTTTAGTTTTAGGTAAATATAAAACAAACAGATGCAAACTCTGAACAAACCAACAATAACCAAAATTGACCCGACAGCCTCGAGACACACAAGGGGAAACCTAAAACATCAAATGATCTAATAGCAAAAAACACAAGCAACCTTTTAATCGCTTCTTTAACTTAACAGTAAACAAATACAAAATAACAAAGTATATAACTCAAGAATCAGAGAAGATTACTTTTGTATTTTTGACTAGTCATTTAGCAAAATGTGGCATGCACCAATCAGCACTTCCTGTAATATTCTGGGGCCCATCCCAGGCTCACTTGATGCCAGCAGACATACCGACCTCCCAGCACCAGTAAAAGAGGGAAAATAAAGCACAAGATAAATTTAACAATTCAGTATGAGGAATAAAAGCGACCTAAATGAGTGAACTATACAGGTCATCGGGTGTTCAAGATGGGCTTTACG